ACTATAACGTTTTTTATGTAGTTATGTGAAACATGGTTATTGTGCTGGTGTGTTTACATTTAAAGTGGACCTATCATGCTATATTTGAATAATATAGTGTAGGACCATACCTATATAAGGCATATTTATACTTTTTATTTTTCAAAATACCAAACAGATCATGCATTTTAGCCATTCCTCATTTCGCTCAATTTAACACTGTCTTTGCATGGGCTGATTCTGTGAGAACAGCACCATCTACAGGCCTGGCATATGTACTACAGCGTCTCCAGCGCTTTCCAACGGCAATGTCCGTGGCTGTTTCCTCCTGATTGGTGGAGTTGGCCCAATAGCCGTAGCACCACTTCTGTGATGTCACAGAAGTGTTCAAATCTGGATCAGTCTGTATCAGATCCATTGCAGCCCCTTTTTAAGAGATTTGGGTATGGAGGAAGATAGAGAGGGTTGTGTTTTCTGACACTTGGTGAGTTCCCTGGAACACCGGGGACACATATTCATGTATAAAAGACGTACAAAAGTGCATTTTGCATGATAGGTCACCTTTAACTTTTGTGTTTACAACGGGCGCGCAGCTAACCATCAGAGTAGACAAGGCTTCATTTTAGAAAAAAGGTGAAGAGAGGTGCTGAAGGTAAGGCAGTAAATAAAAGCACTTGTTGAACATAAAAGCATTTAAACATTTGAACCTGAAAATAAGCATTATGTCCTCTTTAAATGTGGTAGCTGTTTGTTACCTGTATTGAAACGCTGCTGAAGGAACCACCTATGACTGCAGCGATGGCGAGCGGGCTGTCGTCCTGCAGAGCGTAGGATCCGTCTGGACAGATGAACTCTGTGTCGTCCACCTTTGTGAGGGACGCTCTTACAAACTCCAGAGCCTGGGAAACAAACCCACACGGATATTTCATATCAATGTTGTGCAACATATGGGATACCATATGATCTATATTACATATCATTCTTAATCAGCATGTGGCACACTTGAATAACGTTCTTTAAAATACATTTGAAGCATAAATAAAGATTAATCGATACATTTATATAATGTAATATGTTTTCCTTTTTGAAGGGAATATAAAAGCATATTGCTTTACACTTGGGGCTCTTAAATGCTTTCAGAACAGGGTCCAAATGGCAAATCATCTCCCCTGACACTATAAGGGAAATCAAACATCAAGAATACAAGATTCATACAATCAGTCAAAGACCTCATTGTATAAGATCACTGGATGCATTATCCCTAGCTCAGAAATAAGATACAATATATTTTTTTGAAGACAACAATCCCTGAGGGAAAGTGCTCTTTTTCAATTTTTTATATCCGGCTCATTTCCTTCATCACAAATAGCTTCAATCTCTATTTCTCATCAAGGATTTGCTGTTATCGAGGCAGGATCCGTTCACCATTGTGGGTTAAAAAGAATTTCAAGGTACATTTACTCTACCTGAAGATGAACTTTTAACGAGACCTTATAGATTTACTTTTATGGAAACAATGCACTTTTTTACTTTTTGTCATCCCAACTTACTTTGCAGAGCAACTTTCAAAATATATAAATGTAAATGTAATGTTTCTCTGGGGTTTTTTGCTCTAGATGCCGCTTACAACAATACTTCCCTGCACTCTTCGCTTAAAAATGGCATTACAAAAAGGGTGCAGAGGATGTTATGGACAATGATACATTTTGCTAACTTTGATATTCAGTCGTGTTTATTTCAGAATATAATGAAGAACTTCAGTAAAGATGGTTAAAAGAAATCAGAAATCTGGTTGTTGTAAGGTTAGGGAAGCTCATTTGGAAAAGAGCAGTCAGTGCTGTAGCGTGTTTGTTTGTGTGTGTGTGAGTGTGTGTGAGAGTGTTTGTGTGTGTGTGCAGGGTGTGAGACGACTACAGGGAGCAATTGGAGCAGAGGAACGTTTAGCGAGGAAGTGAATGTGCAGCAGAGTTTGCACAAATAAACTCTGAAGATGAATGCGAATGATGATCAGGACCAACAGAGGTTTCAGTTTTTTGTTTCCCAGCTCCTGAGTACATTTACCAACACAGCTCCGCAAGCGGGATCATTTGAGCATTTACCATCAACATTGATTGGGCAATGGGCATCCAGCTAATTTGGCCTTTCAGATGACTGAAAAGTGCTTTTCAATATCATCCAGCATCATCTTCCATTGACAAACATGCAGGGTTTATTGTGTACAGTATGTTATGTATGAACATCCTGACCCACCTGCTCGAGTGCATAGGTATCTCTGGAGCAAGTGTCCAGGATGTGAACCCCGAGAGATACCCCAGGCAACAATGTCTCGTCGTTATTGATTTTGTCGATGGCAAACAGCATGGCCTCCAGTCTCTGGATCCCCCTGTCTTCATTTACACGCCCACACTCCTCCATCCCAGCACCTTTCTCGTGCACCGGGAACAGACCGCCGAGCACCAGATCTCCCTCGATGCGGATCTCCCGGCGAGACGAAGGTGGGTCACCGACAGAAAGCAAGACCCCCCGAATCATCATGACCAAAATTAGAGCGGGGATGCAGGCCACCATGTTGGGCTCAAGGCGGGCTAGGATTGTCAACAGGTGAGGAGAGGTTTGACAGAGAGCGAGGCAGCAGGAGGCGGGGGCCTGAAGGTGAAGGTTAGGGGTGAGGGGTTACGGTTGGTGCGCGGTGGGGCTGAGTGAAGCTGAGGCCGTGGATGCTTGGGTCGGTTTGTGGCCCATGAAACGGTCAGGGAGCGCTGAACTGGACCACACATGGAGGGGCACACCATCTGGACATCAGTCCTGCTTGGAGAGAGGGGAAGGGGTCAGGAGATAGCACTTTTAGTAACGACAACACCCATATAAGGATAATTAAGTTGTGGCTTATCAAAATCATAAATAATATCACTTTCCTGCTAAAATAGGGACGGCAAGAAAGTCAGTCAGCATTGATGAATGAATGAAAGTGAGGGATTCTCCTGGATTGAAAGGCAGAATCAATAAATTATTCCACAATGTGTCTTCCGAAAGATTTAGAAAGACTTAAAACCATCTACTATGATTACCTGAATTCAAAAATTAAGGAAGACATAGGCAGATGGAACCTCTTTCAAGTCATGGGCCTAGAGATGGATGGCTGAAACTGAAATTATTACCAAGATGTTTATAATAATGATAATAATACATGGAGGCGTGTGGCGCAGTGGATAGATCCTTGATGTTGGGATCAGGTTCAAACCCCACTGCAGTCAGCATGTCGTTGTGTCCTTGGGCAAGACACTTCACCCCAAATTGCTCCTGTGGGGATTGCCCACAGTATTGAGTATGTAAGTCGCTTTGGATAAAAGCGTCTAACAAGTAACATGTCATG